TTTCTGCAACGTTGGCTTCTCTAACAATAGGTCTTTGAGAGCCCTCCACATCAGTACATAGAGAGCTTCCTCATTCCTTTATACAGCTGCATAATATTCCACGGAACAGATTTCGTGCAGTTTATTTAAACAATCCCCCAGGGGAGGACATTTAGGTGGTTTCCAGGCTTTTGCCACTTCAAACAATGCTGCCGGAAATAACCTCATAAATGCAGTTTCTCCTATGTGATAGTATATCTCTAGCACAAACCCCCTAGGTGGGGAGATGGGGCCTTCCAACTTTTATGTTTTAATGGAGGTGGAATTTACATATAGTGAAATGCACAGGTTCTCAAGGGGACAGTTGTGGGTAAGGTACATTTTCGTCAGCCCAGAAAATTCCCTCATTCCCCTTCCCAGTCAGCCTCTCCCTCGTAAGCAGGCCCTAGCCGGGTTTGTAGCACTGTAGATTAGTCTATTCTGGAACTGTGTAGGGGTGCCTGGGGGGCTCAGTCAGTTAAGCATCCCACTTGATTTCGGCTCTGGTCGTGACCTCACAGTTCGTGGGTTCAAGTACCGCTTTGGGCTCTGCACTGACAGTGCGGAGGCTGTTTGGGATTCTCTCTCCCTCTCTTTCTGGCCCTCCCCCACGTGCACCTGCGTGCGCGCTCTCTCTCTCTCTCTCTCTCTCTCTCTCAAAAATAAACATTTTTAAAAATAGGTTAAAAAAAAAGGAAAAGAAAACTTTGTGTAAGTGGCAGCACAGCATATATACTCTCTCATTCTCAATTGAGGTGAAATTAACCATTTTAAACTGTAGAGTTCAGTGGCATTTAGTACGTTCACGATGTTGCACATCTACTACCTCTGTCTACTTCCAGAACATTTTCATCACCCTCAGAAGGAAAACCCCACATCCATTAGCAATCACTCCACATTTCTGCAAGGCATACTTGTGTATCTGGCTTTTTTTTTTTTTTTAATTTTTATGTATTTTTTTTAATTTTTAATGTTTTATTTATTTCTAGGAGAGAGAGAGAGAGAGAGAGAGAGAGCGTGAGTGGAGGAGGGGCAGAGAGAGAGGGAGACACAGAATCTGAAGCAGGCTCCAGGCTCTGAGCTGTCAGCACAGAACCCGATGCAGACCTGAGCGGATGTCTGATGCTTGACCGCCTGAGCCGCCCAGGCGCCCCCATGTGTCTGGCTTTTTCCGCGTGGCATGTGTTTGAGATCCGTCCATCCAGTGTATCTCTCCGTGGCTGCCTCCTGTCTAATGCTGAGATGTATTCCATCATATACCAACCCGAACATTTGCCAACAACACATCTACAATGAGTTCGGATTTTTCTATTTGTTAAGGTCTGGGCTAAGCTGGAACAGAGACTCCATGGCACAGTGGTCCCGGAAAGATACAAGGGTATTTCTCCACATAACTGCCTTCAAGTAGGCAGTTCTTCCCCAGAAGCTTGTCAGGGGGCCTGGGTTCCTTCCATCTTGTAGCTCCGCGTTCCCTGAAATGTTGACCTTGACCCCTTGGTTCACCTCCACTATATCCATGCTCCAGCCACAGAGAAGAGGGAGGAGGCAAGAGGCAAACTTCTTTTAAGGCTGTCCCAGTCATTCCTTCCATGAAATAACTCAGTAACAGGAGCGTCCCTGGCAATGCATGCTGGGAAATGTAGTCTTAGGTGGGGTCGCCTGTGGCAGCTCAGAGGTAAGGGGTCAGTTGCAAAAGGACGAAGGGGAGACTGGATGTGGGACTCGGTGGGGTTAGGGGACCTGGAGGTGTTCATTTGAACTTACGGCAGCTGACCTGTTCCCTACCCGCCCTCCCTCCCAGCTAGGTCCGGGGTCTGGCTTGGGCTCCTGTACTCTGTCCAGGCCTGGACGCGGGGAGGCATGTACTTTTAAAAACTTTCTTTCTCGGGGCGCCTGGGTGGCTTAGTCGGTTAAGCGTCCGACTTTCGCTTAGGTCATGATCTCCCGGTTCGTGGGTTCGAGCCCCGCGTCGGGCTCTGTGCTGACTGCCAGCTCAGAGCCTGGAGCCTGTTTCAGTCTGTGACTCCCTCTCTCTCTGCCCCTCCCCTGCTCACGCTGTCTCTCTCGCTCTCTCCTAGAAATAAATAAATTAAAAAAAAACATTAAAAAAAAGATTCCTCATTTTCTCAGGACATACATATGTTGGGTTGTGTCAATTTCTCTTACTGAGCTGGGCTTCAGGTGTCACTTGTGGAGAAGGAANGGTCATGATCTCCCGGTTCGTGGGTTCGAGCCCCGCGTCGGGCTCTGTGCTGACTGCCAGCTCAGAGCCTGGAGCCTGTTTCAGAGTCTGTGTCTCCCTCTCTCTCTGACCCTCCCCTGCTCACGCTGTCTCTCTCTCTCTCTCCTAGAAATAAATAAAACATTTAAAAAAAAAACTTTCTTTCTCTTTTTTAATAATCTTAAACTGATGGGAAGATGCAAAGAATAATACAAAGAGGACTATATACTCTTTACCCAGATTCACATGTTTTAACATTTTCCCTGATTTGTTTTATGATTTGCATGTACACAAGCTTTCTTTTTCTCCTTTCTGTATACACATATGCCACCTAAAAATTTTTTTCAGTAGCTTGAATACATCATAGCTATTTACCGTTAAATAGTTGAGTGTGTATTAAACAAAAAAATTTTTTTAATGTTACTTATTTCAGAGAGAGAGAGAGACAGCGTGAGCAGGGGATGGTCAGAGAGAGAGGGAGATACAGAATCTGATACAGGCTTCAGGCTCTGAGATGTCAGCACAGAACCCGACCCGGGACTCAAACCCACGAACCGCGAGATCACGACCTGAGCCGAAGTCGGACACTTAACTGACTGAGCCACCCAGGTGCCCCAGTTGAGTGTGTACTTTAAGTTTTTATTTATTTATCTTGAGAGAGATAGACTGTGCAAGTGGGAGAGGGGCAGAGAGAGAGAGAAAGAGAGAGAATCCTAAGTAGACTCCATGATGCCTGATGTGGGGCTCGAACTCATGAAAACTTAAGATTGTGACCTGAGCTGAAACCAAGAGTCAGATGCTTAACTGACTGACCCACCCAATCACCCCGAGTGTATATTTTCTTAGAATATTCTCTTACTGGGGGCGCCTGGGGGGCTCAGTTAAGCGTCTGACTTCTGCTCAGGTCATAATCTCACGGTTCATGGGTTCGAGCCCCGCATCAGGCTATGTGCTGACAGCTAGCTCAGAGCCTGGAGCCTGCTTTGGATTCTGCGTCTCCCTCTCTCTCTGACCCTCCCCTGCTCACACTGTCTCTCTCAGAAGTAAATAAAACATTAAAATTAAAAAAAAAAAAATATTCTCTTACTGAACCATAGTGAAGTTACCAGCCTGAATAGGCTTAACTTGAATACAGTCTTTGGTCGAACCTACCAGAGGATTTGTACCTTCATATCAATATATCTTATCAAAATATGATCCAAAATAATTTTTCAAATGTTGCAATTAAGAAAACATAAATGAGGGGCGCCCGGGTGGCTTAGTTGGTTGAGCGTCCGACTTTCGCTCAGGTCATGATCTCGCGGTTCGTGGGTTCGAGCCCCGCGTCGGGCTCTGTGCTGACTGCCAGCTCGGAGCCTGGAGCCTGTTTCAGTCTGTGACTCCCTCTCTCTCTGACCCTCCCCTGCTCACGCTGTCTCTCTGTCTTAGAAATAAAACATTAAAAAAAATTAAAAAAAAAAAAAAAAGAAAACATAAATGGGGCTCCTGGGTGGCTCAGTTGGTTAAGCACTTGACTTTGGCTCAGATCATGATCTCACGGTCCTTGAGTTCGAGCCCCACATCAGGCTCTGTGCTGACATCTCGGAGCCTGGAGCCTGCTTCAATTCTTTGTCTCCCTCTCTTGCCCCTCCCCTGCTCTCTCTCTCTCTCTCTCTCTCAAAAATAAATATTAAAAATTTTTTTTAATTAAGTTTATTAAAAAAAACACTATAAACATGTAAATTGCAGCCTCTGTATGGTTTTTTGTTTGTGTTTCCTACATTAGATCCTAGATTACAGGGGGTTGCTATAGAGGGCATTTTTTTTAATGATTAAAAAAATTTTTTTAATGTTTTATTTATTTCTCTGAGAGAGAGAGAGAGAGAGCATGAGCAGGGGAGGGTCAGAGAGAGAGGGAGACACAGAATCTGAACCAGGCTCCAGGCTCTGAGCTGTCAGCACAGAGCCCAACACAGGGCTCGAACCCACGAACCGCGAGGTCATGACCTGAACTGAAGTCAGACGCTTAACCGACTGAGCCACCCAGGCACCCCTATAGAGAGGGCATTTGGGGGGATAGTTAGAGAAACTGGAAAATGGACTCTTTGTTATGCTGTGGTTGAGTTGTTGTTAAATGTCCTGGATTTGATCACCACACCTTGCTGCTTGTAAAGAATGTCTTCGGGACGCCTGGCTGGTTCAGTCAGTACAGTATGCGACTTTTGATTCCAGGGCTGTGAGTCCAAGCCCCGCATTGGGCATGGAGAAAGAAAAGAGAAAAAGAGAGCCTGTCCTTGTCCTTCAGCAACGCATGCTAAAGCACAGGGTCGGGGCATAATATCCAACTGACATATCTGACTGATGCACACCTACCTCAGATGACTCGGGAAACTCAGTTGCACGATGTGCACGTATTACCATATTCTGTATGGAGGCAGCGATGAAGCAAGTGTGGCATCAGGTTGATAACGTGGGGGATCTGGGTGAAGGGTGTGCAGTGTGCAAATTCGAACTTACTTCAGAATTAAAAGGACTTCGATTTCTGTTTGTTTTTTTTTTAAATGTTTTTATTTTTGAGAGACAGAGAGAGGTAGCATGAGCAGGGTAGGGTCAGAGAGCAAGGGAGACACAGAATCCAAAGCAGGCTCTAGGCTCTGAGCTGGCTGTCAGCACAGAGCCCGATGTGGGGTTCAAACCCCTGAACCGTGAGATCATGACCTGAACCAAAGCCAGACGCTTAACCGACTGAGGCACCCAGGCGCCCTTCTGTTTTGTTTTTAAGGGCAAGGGAAGCTTGTGAAGTGATTTGAGCCGGGAAGGGACTGGATCACATTTGTGACTGGCCTGAAGAGGTGCTTCCCAGCTGCTTATTGGAGGAAGGCCCAGGCAGGCGGGGTGGCGGGTAGGCGCGGGCATCAGGGACAGAGGTTTATGGAGAGAGAGGGGCATGCTGCAGACTGGGTCTGTGAGTGGGTGGAGGCCATGCCTGTGACGGGGGGTTAGCCGGGGAGAGCAGATAGCGCAAAGGATGTAGAGGGTTTGAGCACGTGAGGAGAGGGTGGCACCGAGCTGGGGAGTGGGCTGTGATCATATTAACTGATGGTATTTGACACGTGGAACCACCGCCCCGTGAGCCTGGGGTAGAGGGTCGTGGTACGCTTGAGGCATTCCGGAGAATGAGAAAAGGCTCATGGTCACGGTTGGTGCACGGGGGGTTCAGGAGGAAGGAAGACATGAACCTTCTTCGAGCCTTGACTCACCCCGCAGGATGGATGGCAAGCGGCGGCCGGGCCCGGGCCCCGGGGTGCCCCCGAAGCGGGCCCGTGGGGGCCTCTGGGATGAGGAGGAGCCGTCTCAGCCATCGCAGTTCGAGGAGGAGCTGGCGCTGATGGAGGAGATGGAGGCGGAGCACAGGCTGCAGGAACAGGAGGAGGAGTTGCTGCAGCCGGCCCTGGAGGGAGCTGTGGACGGTGAGACCTGTGGGGGGACCCCCTGCACCCCCCGTCCCCCCGTCGTGCCTGGGAACCACGTCGGCCACAGAGCTCACCTGTAACTTCTGACTTGTGGCCCACTTTGAGCTCCACGAAGTGCTGGCCTCTAACCTCACACCAGTATGCCTGCCACCTTAGTTGTCTGTGGTTCCAATTCTGACCTTGACCTTTGAGCCCATGACCTCTCCCCGGTTTCCTGCCTGATCCAGAGCCCCGCCTCCACCTGACTTTGCTTTTGCACATCAGGGGCCACCTGAGAGACCATGGGCTGGGCTGGGTGGGCCGTTACTTATTTCGGGGGCAGGACCACCCCTCCATGTAGCTTGCCTCCCCCCCCCCCCCTCCCCAATGACCATAGATGCCCGCTGGCTTCGCCCCTCCCCGCCCTCCCTGGATCCCCAGACGGAGCCCCTCATCTTCCAGCAGTTGGAGATCGACCATTACGTGGGTGAGCTTGGTGGTGAGGCCTGGTGGGTAGGAGGAGGGCCCAGGGCTTTGGGAACAAGATGGACACTCCCAGTCCCCGTCCACATGGCCAGGGCTGGGAGAGGCAGGGACAGGGTTGTGGGTGCCCAAAGGGGCAGCAAGAGGGGAAGGGGGGTTGCAGGTGTCCAGTGGGCTTCCTGGAGGTGGGGACTGTCTTCCAGCCGAGGCGTGAAGGTAAGAGCTGGCTCCTTGCCGAGGGGGGAGGCGTGTGGTTCCACATCCATGCGTCCATCCAGTGTCTGTCAGGAATGACCAGGCATCTGCACTGAACCAGGCCCTGTTCCTGTCAGGCCAGGTCCCTGCTCTCCGAGGCTCAACTTCTAGAAGGATAGGCGGAATGAAAAAGGAAGTGGAACCTCAGGTGGCCATGATTTAAGGCAAACGTAAAGCAGGGTGGGGGTACTGGACCGTGCATCCTGGAGGTGTGGGAAAGCCTCTCCGAGGAGGCGGCAGGGAGCTGCAGGGCAGTCTGGGAAAGGGGGTTCCAGGCAGAGGGTCCTGAGGGGGCAGCAGGTCTGGGACCATTGAGGAACAGCAAGATCAGTGGGGGGGGGGGGGGGCAGGGTGGCACGGGAGATCCTCTCCGCCAAGGCGAGGACTCTGGGGCTCCATTCTGAGCGGGCTGGGAGTCTTTGGCCATGGAGAGGCCCAACCCCGGCTCGCAGGTGAGAAGGCTCCCCTGCAAGAGGGTGAAGAGACGAGTCACAGGCAGGGAGGAAACGTTTGCAGCCCCCGGATCTGAGCAGGGGCTCATGCTGTGAGTCTGTGAGGAGTGTTCAGATCTCAACAGTGAGAAGACAGTCCAGTCCGAAAGTGGACAAAACACTCGGGCCGACAGTTCCCGGAGGATGCTCAGGCTGCCGCTCAGTGTCACTGGCTGTCAGGGAACTGTACATGACAGCTGCGGTGAGACAGCACACCTACCAGGAGAACTAAAGAAAACAGCACCGCTGCCACCAGTCATTGCTAAGGACGCAGAGCAATTGTAAAGTTCGCTCACGCCCCGCTGTGGGAACGCTGTGTGTTGCTGCCCCTCTGGGAAACAGTCTGGAAGCTTCCTAGAGTTCAGCCTACCCTTTCCCCCCCAGCTTTGTTGAGATACAAGAGTCAAATCCACTTTCTTCCTAGGACCAGGCAGTTCCACCCCTAGATATTTCCCCTGCAGGAACGAGAGCCAGCAGACTGTGTGATTCCATTTATACGGTTAGACTCAAAAAAAAGGGCACCTGGGTGGCTCAGTTGGTTAAGCCTCTGACTCTTGATTTTGGCCAAGGTCAGGGCCCCACAGTTTGCGGGACCAAGCCGCACGTCTACGCTGATGGTGCAGAGCCCATGTGGCATTTTCTCTCTCCCTCCCCTGCTCACGCTCGCAAGTGCTCTCTGTCTCAAAATAAATATTTTTTTTAAAGTTAAAACAAAGACAAAATTAGAACGAAGGAGAGTGGCCCATCAGTGCCAGGGGCTGTGGTTACAAAAGTGCATCGTGCAGGAGCGGTTTGGAGTGATGGAAGTGTTTTGTACCGCGGTTTTGTTGGTGGTTACAGGAATCTGCGTATGTGTTAAAGCTCCTGCCACTGCACACACTCGATTTTACTTTTTAATATTTATTTTTGAGAGCGGGTGCGCGGGTGAGTGGGAGAGAGGCAGAGAAGAGAATCACAAGAAGTGCAGAGCCCAACACAGGGCTCAAACTCACCAACCATGCGATTGTGACCTGAGCACTCAAATGACTGAGCCAGCCAGGCACCCCTGTTTTGCTTTTCAAAAGAAAGTATTTTCTGCAAAATGGCCAGGGGGCTCCCTCTGGCTAGAGTGGGGAGACAAAGCCGGAAGTGGAGACCAGCAGGGAGGCGCTCAAAGCTCAGTGACTGGCGTGGAAAGAGCGTGGAAGGCCCGTGCAGGGCCCGTGCAGGCAGAAGCACCCGCGCTGCGGGAACCAGGGGCTGTGCTCCCAGCAAAGGAGGAGCCTGGAGAGGCAGACCTTTGAGGAATCCGAGGGGGTAGCCCCTGCCTCATCCTGTGTTTCACACTCCCCCCAGCCCCGGCGCAGCACCTGCCTGGAGCAGCCCCGCCACCCCCAGGCTCCGCGCCAGTGCTCCGTGCCTTCGGAGTCACTGATGAGGGCGTGTCCGTCTGCTCCCACATCCACGGCTTTGCGCCCTACTTCTACACCCCGGCGCCCCCTGGTGAGTGGCCCCACCCACCCCCAGCCCCCTGGAGGCCCCCTGGAGGCCCCTGCGCTTCTGAGTAGCTCTCCCACCCCCAGGTTTTGGGTCGGAACACCTGGGCGACCTGCAGCGGGAGCTGAATGCCGCCATCAGCAGGGACCAGCGCGGAGGGAAGGAGCTGGCGGGGCCGGCTGTGCGGTCCGTGGAGCTGTGCTCCCGGGAGAGTGAGTGCCGCCCCGGGGCTCCGGCGGGCAGGGCTCCCTCTGCGCCGGTGCCAGCCTCGTCTGTCCGCAGGCATGTTCGGGTTCCGTGGGCACGGCCCCTCCCCGTTCCTGCGCATCACCCTGGCACTGCCGCGCCTCATGGCCCCTGCCCGCCGCCTCCTGGAGCAGGGCATCCGCGTGCCAGGCCTGGGCACTCCCAGCTTCGCGCCTTACGAGACCAACGTGGACTTCGAGATCCGGTACAGCCCCTGCCTCGCTTCTCCAGCCTCTGTGCCCCGCCCCCGCAGTCAGCTTCCGCCTACTGATCCTCACCCCCCATCCAGGTTCATGGTGGACACAGATATCGTGGGCTGCAACTGGCTGGAGCTCCCGGCAGGGAAATACCACCTGAGGCTGGAGGGAAAGGTGCGGGCTTGCCGGGGACAGGGGCACAGAGCCGGGACCCTGCAGCCACTGACACGCCCCCTCCCTGCAGGCCACGCATTGTCAGCTGGAGGTGGACGTGCAGTGGTCTGACGTGATCAGTCACCCGCCGGAAGGGGAGTGGCAGCGAATCGCGCCCCTGCGCGTGCTGAGCTTTGACATCGAGTGTGCTGGCCGCAAAGGTCTGTCTCCAGGGCCCAGGGCTCCTCCCCCTCTCCCTTTAGACGTCAGTTACGTCAGTTACGTGCGAGCCTCGCCCCAAGAGTCCCCATCCTTGCTGAGCTCTCTCGGGAAGGAGGGAGTGAACATGAAATCGTAGGAGGATGGTGGTGGAGAGTGACAGGCAGCTCAGACAGGTGGGCAGGGGACGTGGGGCAGGCCTGTGAGGAGGGATGAGCAGGGGTATGGGGGGGGGAGAACCTCCCCCCCCCCGCGGAGACTAGGAAGTGCAAAGGCCCTGGGGCAGGACCCAGCCTGTGAGAGGCAGGGAGAGGGCCACAAGATGAAGGCAGGGCGGAAGAGCATGGGTCATGCGGGGTCTGCAGGCAGAGGAGAGAGGAGCAGACAGTCTGGGGAGATGGGATGTACGCCCCCCCCCCCGATGTGTCACAAAGGAAAAGGGGAAGTTCGGTCCCCTGCATCCCCCTCCTTGCTCCCTGCGCAGGCATCTTCCCGGAGCCCGAGCGGGACCCCGTGATCCAGATCTGCTCACTGGGCCTGCGCTGGGGTGAGCCGGAGCCCTTCCTGCGCCTGGCGCTCACCTTGCGGCCCTGCGCCCCTATCCTGGGCGCCAAAGTGCAGAGCTACGAGCGGGAGGAGGAGCTGCTGCAGGTGGCTCTCGTTCCTTGTCCCCTTTTGTTCTCAGAACCCGCCTGCCCTCCTCCCCCCCCCCCTTCCCCGCCATCCCAGGTGCGAGGCCATGTCCTCTGGATGCTGAGACGCCAAGTCCACGGGTTCAGATCCCTTTGCTTTGGAGGAGGGTGACCATTTCCTGCCTGGGTTCTGTGTTATTTTCAGAAGCACCTGCCCAGTCTTTCTGCATCAGGCAGGAGGGCTCCAGGCTTGCTCTTGGGGGCTTCCGGGATGTTCCAGGAGTGGGGAGGATCCATGCCAAGGGGACGATCAGGGTGACCCTGGGTGTGCTCCCACCTCCCCCCCAGGCGTGGTCAACCTTCATTCGCATCATGGACCCCGATGTGATCACCGGCTACAACATCCAGAACTTTGACCTTCCGTACCTCATCTCCCGGGCCCAGACCCTCAAGGTAGGGCAGGCAGGTGCCGGAGGCCTGCCTTCAGATGCCCCACTGAGGGCTCAAGGGGTGGGCGCCGCCCTGCTCCCCCTCGCCGCTCTCTCCCTTGTGACTCTGTCCCCCTTGGGCGGCCCAGTGGCTCCAGGGACATCACCGAAAAGCCAGCTCTGTCCCCGTCCCTGCCCTGCTCGAAGTCCAGAAGGTTACCTGGCTTTTGCAGAGGCAGGGTGAGCGTTTCTGATCAAATAAGGAAAGGCCTGTGTGTTCGAAGAGCAGACGGAAGCGTGCAGGGGGGTAGTGTCTTTCCTTCTAGACTTTAAAACACATCAGCCAAAAATACGGGAAAGGGGGAGTCCGTGAAACATGTGGCAAAACTGGATGTTTGTCGAATGTGGGAGTGGCCGTATGTGGCGCGCTGGTTCGCTCGGGCTGCTGGGACAGAGTTCCCCAGGCCTGTGTCGTGTCACAGGCCGGGTCAGAGGGCCAAGACCAAGGCCTCACAGGCTCGTTCCTTAGAGGCCTTTTCTAGCGGCTGGTGGTCTCAGACGTAGGGGTGTTGACGGCGGTCTCCCTGATTCCTCAGCTTGACTTCTCTCTAATTCGGACATATCGCTGCCCACGTTTCCTCTTTTTCTAAGGACACCGTGGGCTTTTATCAGGGCCCTGATGGCCTCCACGTGTTCACCTGCAAAGACCCTATTCCCAAAGCGGTTACGTTCTGAGGTGTGGAGGTTAGGACTTCAACATCTTTGAGGGGGACACAGTTCAGCTCGCAGTGGAGGTCATGTTGTATTATTTCTTCTTTTTCCTTATGTTTGGCCAGTTTCACGATGGAAGATAAGTCATATTTGGGGCGCCTGGCTAGCTCTGTCAGGTGAGCGTGGGACTTGGAACTCAGGGTTGTGAGTTCAAGCCCCACGTTATGCAGGGAACCTACTTAGAAAATACAGTAAAGTGGTATCTTTAAAAATCACGTTGGGGGGCCTGGATGGCTCAGTCAGTTAAGCATTCAACTCTCGATTTCGGCTCAGGTCATGATCTCAGTTTGTGAGTCTGAGCACCGCGTCGGGCTCTGTGCTGACAGTGCAGAGCCTGCTTGAGATTTTCTCTCTCCCTCTCTCTCTGCTCTTCCCCCACTGTGCTTGCTCTCTCTCTCAAAATAATTAAATAAACTTAAATATATTTTTTTGTGGGGTGTGCGGGTGGCTCAGTCAAGCTTCCAACTTCAGCTCGGATCATGATCTCACGGTTCATGGGTTCGAGCTCTACGTCAGGCCCTGTGCTGACAGCTGGGATTCTGGAGCCTGTTTCAGATTATGTGTCTCCCTCTCTCTCTCTGCCCCTCCCCTGCTCGTGCTCTGTTTCTCTCTCTTTCTCAAAAATAAATGCACATTAAAAAAAAATTTTTTTTAATTGTGTTTATGGCCTGAACAGCTCCGGGAAGGGGTCCACCCCTGTCAGCCTGGCATCTGTACGCAGGGCACTGCTCCCTGCCCGCTGCACCCCTGCCCTGCTTCTCCTCCAGCTCAGGCCTCCCCTCTCTACCCTGTCCCTCTCGCCTTGCCCCTCCCAAGCCACTGCCTGTCCTGACCTCAGACCCAGCTCTCTGTCCTTCCCTCTGCTGTGCGCCCACCTTGCTGTCCCCCAGGCCCCTCGCCCCACTCAGCTCAGCGTCATCCCCATCCCCATATCTGCCCCTCCTCCACTGCCCGTCTGGGTGCAGCTCTCCAGCCACCGGGCACCGTGCCTGCCCCCCCCGCAGCCTGGCGTCCTCTGCCTTTCCCCGTCCCGGCCTCCCGTCTCCCCTCCCGTCCATGCCTACCCAGCCCCAGAGGGTCTTCTGCATCAGAGCTCCCCACCCACCCCACCCCTGGCCTCCAGCCGCCCAGCCCGGGGCTCCCAGCAGGAAGAGGGCGGCATCCGGGGTGACGTCTGCATTTTTCTGGCGCGGCCCCGGGGTCCCACATCAGGGCGGCTGCGGCCTCCACCCCTCCCTGGTGCTGTGTCCCCAGGTGGAGTCGTTCCCCTTCCTGGGCCGCGTGTCTGGCCTCCGCTCCACCATCCGGGACTCGTCCTTCCAGTCCAAGCAGACGGGCCGGCGGGACAGCAAGGTGGTCAGCATGGTGGGCCGCGTGCAGATGGACATGCTGCAGGTACGCGCGGGGCCGGGCGGGGGCCGCCCTCCTGGGGCGGCTGCCCGGGCCCACCCTGTGCCCCCCACCTCCCCTCCCCACTGCAGGTGCTGCTGCGGGAGTATAAGCTCCGCTCCTACACGCTCAACGCCGTGAGCTTCCACTTCCTGGGCGAGCAGAAGGAGGACGTCCAGCACAGCATCATCACTGACCTGCAGGTGCCTGGCTGCGGGCCTGTGACCTCTGACCCCGCCCGGCCTCACTCCTCCGTCCCCTGCCCCCTCCTCTGATCTTACTCTTCTGGCTACTCCTCTGGCCCAGCGTCCCACCTCCCTGACCTTGGGCCGCAGTCTCGCAGCTGTATTCTCTTCCCTCCAGTCTGTGATCTCACCCTGCAGACGTGCGTCCCACCGCCTCGGGCCCTGTGTCCCCATCCCCTTCTCCTGCCGCCACCTCTAGTCCACGTTCGCCCGCCAGGCCGCCCCCTTTTCCTCTGACCCCGTCAAGTCCCCGACCCCCAGCTCTGCCCACTCCGCACCCAGACCCTCGCCCTCTCCCTGACTCCTGAGCCCCCGCGGCTGCCCCCCGACCCCCTGATGCCCTCTGTGCCTGTCCCCAGAACGGGAATGACCAGACACGCCGCCGCCTGGCCGTTTACTGCCTCAAGGATGCCTTCCTGCCCCTGCGGCTACTGGAGCGGCTCATGGTGCTGGTGAACGCCATGGAGATGGCACGTGTCACCGGCGTGCCCCTTGGCTACTTGCTCACCCGTGGCCAGCAGGTCAAGGTCGTATCCCAGCTGCTGCGGCAGGTCAGTGGGCGGAGCGGATGGTGGGCCGGTCCCAATGCTTTTAGCAAGTCCCAGCTCCCAGCCTCCGGTCACTGGGTCACTCCCTGTGGCTTCTGGGCAGTGACACCCGACACTCTGTCCCCCCCCCCGACCTCCCTCCATTTCCCGCCTTCTTCCCTCTCAGGCCATGCGTGAGGGACTGCTGATGCCTGTGGTAAAGACAGAGGGTGTCGAGGACTACACGGGAGCCACGGTCATTGAGCCCCTCAAAGGGTATGATCCCGTGTCTGGGTGGGGGTGGCTCAGGGCTTCCAGCCCTGACTCCTCCCCTCCCCCCCCCAGGTACTACGATGTCCCCATCGCCACACTGGACTTCTCCTCCCTGTATCCGTCCATCATGATGGCCCACAACCTGTGCTACACGACACTCCTGCGACCCGGGGCTGCCCAGAAACTGGGGTATGGCACCCTCTCCTTCCCGGGGGCCCCGGGACTGCCCAGGGGCTGGCTTCAGTGGGGGCAGGGCCCAGGACCCAGATGAGGAGGAGGGTAGAGGAGAGACTTGAGAGGTGGGGAGTGCCTGAGGGGGCCTGGGGGGAAGGAGATGGGGAGGCCAAGCATCACCCCCGCATCCTCTGACCCAGCCTGACCGAGGATCAGTTCATCAAGACGCCCACAGGGGACGAGTTTGTGAAGACGTCAGTGCGGAAGGGGCTGCTGCCCCAGATCCTGGAGAACCTGCTCAGCGCTCGGAAGAGGTGGGTTCTTGAGCGCTCCACCCACCCCTGCTCAGAGCTCAGACTTGCTGGGGCTCCTCAGCAGTCCGTCTCTTGTGGGTCACCCCAGGGTTGCCACGCCACACGTTAACTGCTGTGGGTGTAAATTAGAACAAACAGCTCCTCTTTGCCCCCTCTGCTGGGTGCCTCTATGCAGTACACAGCCTGCACGACTGTACACGGCATCCATTTCTAGAAAGGCACCCTGACCAGTGCCTAGGCCCAGGCCTCTCATCTTTCTCGGAGATCTGTGGCGCCGCCACAGTGGCCTGTGCTTCCTCTCCTTCCAGGGCCAAGGCTGAGCTGGCCAAAGAGACAGACCCCCTGCGTCGGCAGGTGTTGGATGGGCGGCAGCTGGCACTCAAAGTGAGCGCCAACTCTGTATATGGCTTCACTGGTGCCCAGGTGGGCAAGCTTCCGTGCCTGGAGATCTCACAGGTGAGTGCCCAGTTCCCACTGTAGAAGGTGGGGGGCACTAGCCCCTCTCTGGGAGAACCAGGGCTCCGTGTGGTAGAGCCCAGGCTGCCCCAACTTGCTGGCTGTTGGGAGAGGGGGATGCATGAGTGGTTCATTCGTTGGTTGAACACATGTTCGCTGAACATCCTGTGTGGGTCCAGCAGGTGGCAAAGTGGACAAGAGTCCCTGCCCTCGTGCAGTGCGCAGCCTCGTGGTCACACAGGTGGCCACAGCAGCACATGTGTGGGATGACAGTTGGTGCCAAGGGCTCTGCAGACAGATGGAGTGGTGGGGGCGGGGGGGTGGCATGGGGGGAGCAGAGGCTTTGTTCATTGCTCACTCATTCATTCCATCTCTCCTAATTCACCTGACAGACCCCACCCCCTCCTCCCCTGGTCTCCGTGAGGGTGAGGGAGGGGAGGCCAGGCCGTGTGTCTGCTCATGGGGGCAGGGGCGGTGCCCAGGAGCACAGCCAGCCAGCCCCTGACGCTGGACGGGCCGTGTGTGCTCTGTCTGGGAAGGAGCAGGTGCAGGTGCGAGGGTGCCTCTTCCTGCCCCAGGGGTGACGGTGCTTGGTCAGTGCTCTGCTCTGAGAGGGCAGAGCCCTCGGGGCCCCCAAGACCCTCCTCACATCAAGTGATGTGCTAGAAGGGCTCCAGGAACTCAGAAAAGCCGTCCTTCTCAGGATTATGATGTAATACAATGAAGGGATAGCGATTAAAGTCAGTGAAGGGAAAAGGCACGGAGCTCCCAACTTGGCTCCGCCAGTGGAGTTAGTGGGCAGTGTTTTTTCTCCCGGCGCGCGACAGCGCATGTGCAGTGTCTCCTGGCACCGGTGCGCGACAGCGCGTGTGAGTGGAGCGTCTCCCATGGCGCTGGTTGCCAACCAGGGATGCTCACCGAGCCTCCGTGTCCTGGATGTTTATTGGGGCTGGTCACACAGGTGTGGAGCATCTGTGTGTGACTGACCTTCATTACTCAGGCTCCGGCCCCTGCAGAGAGGTCAGGCTGATAGCGTGTGACCCCAGGCCTCACTATGAGTCACACTGTCAGCGCAGTCCAAGGTCCTGGGTGAACAATGACACTCTTTTCTGCAGGATGTTCCAAGGGCTTCGAGGTTCCCTCCCAGGAGCCAGCCAGGAGCCAGGCCTCTTTCTGGGCAGGGTTCCTCCTATAGTGCACCCCACCCTTATTGCTCTCATTGGCCTTTCACAAGTCCCAGTGGGCCTCCCCCGCCTCCCTGGCAGAGAGAAGTGGGTGTTTGGCTGTCCGATCCAGGCCCTAAGCAGAGGCCGGGCCAGGAGGACTTGGCTTTGTTTCCCTTGGGGCTTCCTCATCAGGGCCACCGCTTCCTGGTCATGTCCCTCTGTCTTTTCCTTCTTCATCCTTCTCTCTGTTTCTCTGTCATGTCTTTGTTTCTTTGGGTTTTTTTTCCTTATTGCTGTCTCTTAGGTTTATAGGGGCAGGGAGATCAAACAAACAAACAAAAATAAGTACTGAACCATTCCAGAAAAGGATATAAAAAAGAGAAAGGAACATAGAACAGGTGAAACAAGCAGAAAACACTTAGGAAAGTGGTAGATTTAGGCCCAGATGTGTTCAGTAATTATACTAAACATAAGTCACCTAAGTGCTCTAGTTAAAAGACAGAGATCTTTTGACTGGATCCAAACAAAAGCAGAAGAGTGATACTCATCTCTCCTTCATGTGTGCCCCTGGGTCCCCCAGTGCTCCAGCTTCAGTTCTCTTTTTTTTTTTTTTTAAATGTTTTTTTATTTTTGAGAGAGAGACAGCACGAGTGAGGGAGGGACAGAGAGAGAGGGAGACACAGAATCTGAAGCAGGCTCCAGGCTCTGAGCTGTCAGCACAGAGCTTGACACGGGGCTCATGAACTGTGAGATCATGGTCTGTGCTCTGGTGACTGAGCCACCCAGGTTCCTCTTCAGCTCTGTTATTTGCAAAGTAAGATCGTTGGGAAGTTTCTCCATGAGGTTGGCATATCCTCCTGCTCTGGGGGTGGGGGGGCATTTCTGGTTACCCAAGGATTTGGGGGTGGCCCTGCTGGCTTTTGAGGAGGGAGCCAGGAACATCGGTGATCCTGCCCCATAGAGAACTGCCTGCAGTGTCACCACGTGTCGCGGCACCTCCATGGAAGGAAACAGCATGCTGATGGCCTCTTCTGGCCTTAGCCTTTCCTAACACTCAGTTTTTGCAGACCTTCCTCCTTTGTGCCCAGAGCTCTGGGCCAGCGACCCAGTTCTTTCCAACAGATGGTTAAGAAGCAGCTTAGTAACCCCATTTTGTAGATTTGGACATCAAGGCCCAGAGGGGCAGAGTAACTCACCCAAGCACATGCCCCCAGGAAGTAGCGGAATGGCACCCCGAGCCCAGGACTCCTGGGTCGTCACTTCATGGTTCTCTCCCTGACAGAGCGTCACTGGGTTCGGGCGCCAGATGATTGAGAAAACAAAGCAACTGGTGGAGTCCAAGTACACAGTGGAGAATGGCTATGTCACCAATGCCAAGGTCAGAGGCCTCCCCTCCCACTGCCCAGATGTGGGGCTGGGTAAGGGGAATTGCAGGGGCCTGGCCCCCATCTCCCCCCGCCCCTCAGTCATACACACCCCTTGCTTCCCAGGTGGTGTATGGTGACACCGACTCGGTCATGTGCCGATTTGGTGTCTCTTCTGTGGCTGAGGCAATGGCCCTGGGGCGGGAGGCTGCGGATTGGGTGTCGGGCCACTTCCCCCCACCTATCCGGCTCGAGTTTGAAAAGGTAAGGGGGAGCCTGCCTCGGGGCTCAGAGTGGGCACATGTGGGTCCCGCAAGTTTCACAGGGTCTCTGATTCTCGGCGCCTGCGTCCCCATGAGGCTCCGCTCACATCTGGAGGCGTCGGCGTCCGGAGCACCCCAGGCTTACTCAGGGTCTCTCCATATTGGGGGTGCCCTGATCTGGGTACTGTGACTCCCATGCTTCACATTCTGTAGGTCTCAGTTTTGGGGTGTTTCGCTGCTTGGACTCTCCTGAGTTTGGAAACCTAAAGCCTTGGGCTTTGCGATGCAGAATGTGTTTTTTTTTTTTTTTTTTTAATATTTTTATTTATTTCTAGGAGAGCGAGAGAGACAGTGTGAGCAGGGGAGGGTCAGAGAGAGAAGGAGATACAGATTCTGAAATAGGCTCCAGACTCTGAGCTGGCAGTCAGCACAGAGCCCGACGCGGGGCTCGAACCCACGAACCGTGAGATCATGACCTAAGCGAAAGTCGGACGCTTAACCGACTAAGCCACCCAGGCGCCCCAGAATGCAGTTTTTTTAGGAACTTTTGTCAGTCTTGGAGCATCTCTGCTGTGGGTGTGGGGGCTGCGTCAGGCAGTGGGGACCCTGCATCCTGCATCAGGGCACCGTTGGCCAATGCTCCTTGGCTCCCAGCAGGAATCAGGCTGGGGGCTGGGGACTCACGCTGCATTTTATTCCCAAGGTTCAAACTTGGGGTCAGGTCTTAGGTACACCCCAAATTTAGAGCCTTCCAAAGGTGAGCCTCCCTGCCTCAGGGCTCACTCCTGGGCCTTAGTCTCAGCTCCTTGGTGGGGGGCGGGGGTTGCTGCCTGTACCCCTGTCCGCCTCAGGCCTGCCCCAGACCCAGATTTGGTACTCTCCAGGCTCCATCGTCGTGTGTGTATCTTGTTTTAGGGCCTTACTCAAGGTTTTCAGATTCGAGGTCCCTGGAATTTGAGGGTGTGGCCAAGCTCAGGCCCAAGGGCGTCCGTCTCCCAGCACCCCAGTCCTGCATCACAGGGTCCGGCCCTGTGTGTGCTCAGTGTCTGAGGGAAGTCTCAGGGCTCAGGAGGTCTTGAGGGTCTCAGCCATGGGTCCCCCCCCCCAGGTCTACTTTCCCTACCTGCTCATCAGCAAGAAGCGGTACGCGGGCCTACTGTTCTCCTCCCGGCCCGACGCTCACGACCGCATGGACTGCAAGGGCCTGGAGGCTGTGCGCAGGGACAACTGCCCCCTCGTGGCCAACCTCGTCACCGCCTCCCTGCGCCGCCTGCTCATCGACCGGTGGGTGGGGTACCCCCCTCAGCCCCAGGCGTCCCAGTCCCCAGCCACCCGCCCCCCACCCCCCCGACACAGGTGTCAGGCCCAGCCTGTCCTCCGTGGTGGAACAGTGGAAAGAATGTGGGGTTGGACAGCTGCCGGTCGAGGCCCCGCCCCTGCTACTTTGCACCCCATGGCCTGGCCAGGTCCCTCCCGGCCCGCACACCCTGGCCCTCAGGCCTCAGGCAGCAGCTGCTGGTGACATCCCCATCCTGGCCCTGCAGAGACCCCATGGGGGCCGTGGCCCACGCACAGGACGTCATCTCGGACCTGCTGTGCAACCGCATTGACATCTCCCAGCTCGTCATCACCAAGGAGCTGACTCGCGCCGCCTCGGACTACGCCGGCAAGCAGGCCCACGTGGAGCTGGCAGAGAGGTCCGCCCGGCGGGAGGGCCGCGGGGCTGTCCGGAAATAGCCCCCTCCTGCCAGCTGGGCGCCACTTCCTGCTGCCCTGCCCGCCCCCGCCAGCCCACCTGCCCTCACCCGCCCCCGCCGCCCCTGTCTCCCCCGCAGGATGAGGAAGCGGGACCCCGGGAGTGCGCCCAGCTTGGGCGATCGTGTCCCCTACGTGATCATCGGCGCTGCCAAGGGCGTGGCTGCCTACATGAAGTCGGAGGTCAGGCCCACCTGGGCTGCCCGCTCCGCCCTGCTCCCCTCCTCTCACTTCTGCTTTCCAAGCCCTGCGGGGAGGGTGTTTCCCTCTGTGGCCCCACAGGGCCCTGAGAACCGCCCCCGACACACCCCTGGGAGTTGGCTCCCCGATGCCTTTCTCCCAGGCCTCCCGTGCCCTCTGGAGGGGCCCCCCGACATTCTGATCCCTCCCTCGCTCCCCCTGCAGAAGAAGACCCAGCTTCACCGTGCATACCGCATCTCTCCATCTCTCTTCTTGCGGGACTGGCTCCTTGCTCCTTGCTCTCCAACCCAGAATCCTCTGGGATTCATGTCCTTCCGCACTACCCCAATGTCCAGTGACCTCTGGCCCCCACGACCCCTTCCTCAGTCCCCACTTCCTGTCCTGCCTCCTCATGTCTCGGCGTCTGGCTTTTCCCTCCAGCTGCTGTCCACCTTTGCACATGCCCAAGCTGTGAACTCTGACCCTTGCTTGGGGTCCTGCGAACCCCCACCCGTGGACCCTAGCCTGCACCACAGCTCATGGCCAAGGGACCCCTCGTGACCTCTGGTGCCATTCCAGACCCATGCCCCACCCCAGGGTGCCGACACCACTGCCCATGCTCACAACGGGGGGACCCACCAGCCCAGAGGCTGCCGGCGCCTCTGGTGAGCACAGCCCTGGCCCCGGCTGTGACCCCCCCACCCCCGGGCCGCTCTGCACGCAGGACCCCCTGTTCGTGCTGGAGCACAGCCTGCCCATCGACACGCAGTACTACCTGGAGCAGCAGCTCGCCAAGCCGCTCCTGCGCATCTTCGAGCCCATCCTGGGCGAGGGCCGCGCCGAGGCTGTGCTGCTAAGTACTGAGGGGGCATGCCCGGGGAGGGGTGGGCGCTGAGGGTCACGGAGGGCACCTGGCCCACTGCCTGCTCTCACCCGCAGGGGGTGACCACACACGCTGCAAGACGGTGCTCACGGGCAAGGTGGGCGGCCTTCTGGCCTTTGCCAAACGCCACAGCTGCTGCATCGGCTGCCGCACTGTCCTCAGCCACCAGGGTGAGCGCCGGACCCCAGCCCAGCCCCAGGCCCCTACGCGCCATCCAGCTCCACCCTGGCCCAGGTCCCTGCAGGTGCCCTCCGGGCCGGCCCGGGCCCCTGGGTGGGGGCTCCTGTTGACAGGCACCCCCTCGAGGGTCCTGGGCCCCCCGCCCCGGGAGTTCCCCGGGGAGTTTTCCCCCTCCCGCACACTCGCTCCCTTGTTCTCTTGTCTCCGGGGACTTTCAGAAGCCGGGATGGGCAGCGGGTGGGGAAGGGGCAGGGATAGGGCAGCCGGGCCCTGGCTCTGCCCCAGCTCTCCTGTGCTGACCCGCCCCCTCCCCCAGGGGCCGTGTGCAAGTTCTGCCAGCCTCGGGAGTCGGAGCTGTATCAGAAGGAGGTGAGGGGGCTGCTGGGAGAGGGGGGAGGGAGGACGGGGCGGCGGGTCGGGCGCCCTGCAGCGCTCTCGTCCCCAGGTGTCGCACCTCAACGCCCTGGAGGAGCGCTTCTCGCGCCTGTGGACGCAGTGCCAGCGCTGTCAGGGCAGCCTGCATGAGGACGTCATCTGCACCAGGTACAGGGTCCCCGGCGGCACCCTTCACCCCCTCCACCAGCACCACCTTTGCTGACCCTCGGTGTCCCGGCCTTGGTTGGGGGAGGGTGCTGCTGGGCGGGGAGGCAGGGCTGGGCACCCACTAGCTGCCCGGGAACCGGCCATGGCTCTCTCTCCTGCTCTCCTTCACTCACTCACATGCACACACACCACAGCCCTAGCCCCCTCCCCCAGGGCGGGCACACACACACACACACACACACACACACACACACACACAACACAGCTCTGGCCCCCATCCCCCAGGGCAGGCGGGCACACACACACACACACACACACACACACACACCACAGCCCTGGCCCCTCCCCCAGGGCGGGCGGGCACACACACACACACACACACACACACACACACCCCACAGCCCTGGCCCCCTCCCCCAGGGCGGGCACATACACATACACACACACCCCACAGCCCTGGCCCCCTCCCCCAGGGCGGGCCAAGCTTTCCCCAGGGAACGGGCGGGCGGGGCGGGTTCCCACGCCAGGTGACAGGTGATATACGGCTGGTGGCCCAGCGCCCCCGCGGGCTCCCGCTGTTAGGGCTCCCCCCATGCCCGCTGAGCAAACAGCCTGCCACCGGAGGGAGGGTTGGGTGGGCAGCGGGTGGTGGGGGTCAAAGTCCTGGGAACGGCCCCCACCCCATCGCAGGGCCGGGCAGCCGCCCTGAGCCTGACCGTGACCCTGACCCCGCCCACAGCCGGGACTGCCCCATCTTCTACATGCGCAAGAAGGTGCGCAAGGACCTGGAGGACCAGGAGCAGCTTCTGAGACGCTTTGGCCCTCCTGGCCCTGAGGCCTGGTGACCTCCGACCTCGGCAGGCTTCCTCCGAGGGCCTTGGCGGGGGGTGGGGGGGGCGGATTGGTGGAGAAATAATAAAGTTGGGGCTTTTTGTTCCCTGGTGTCTTGTGGTCTGTGTGCACAAGGTCTCCTGTCATGAACCCCGGCCCCAGTAGGTCACTTCCACTCAGCCGGATCCCCTGACCCCCAGGAAGCCCCCGCTGACTCCTCCCCTTCCCTCCCAGAACCCCTGGGCTGCCAGCCCCACAAGAGGCAGGCCTGCCTCAGTCTCCCCCTGGGACCCTCCCTCACGGGCCTGAGTGAACATCTAACCACACATCCTCTGCCTGGACCGCCCGCCCTCCAGGTGCCGACCTGTTCCCTCCAGGCCTGGGGCAGCCCCCGGCCCGGAAGCTCCCACTGCCCAGCACAACCCAGGGGAGCCCCCTCCCGTGTCGCACACCCACAGTGTTTCCACCTCAGGGTCCTCGCAGGCTCTGGGCCTGGATTTTCCTCTCCCCGCAGTTCACATCCACTCCTGAGAGTCCCGGCAGCCCCGCCACGCCTTCAGACCCCATCAGTGCCTGAGCCTGTCACTCAGGGTCGTGTGCCCCCCACACCCCCCTGGTTCCTGGGTCCAAAGCCACCACCGCCCCCCCCACCTTTTACTGACCTCAGGAACCCTTGGCTTCTCTACTTTCTTCGGATCCCCCCAAATCCAGCTCCTCTCCCATCTCCCCCAGAGGGGTCGGCCCCCCATTCCCACCCCAACTGTGGGGATCCCCAAATCCAGATGGCCCCTGGGCCTGCCCTCTGTACCACGTGACCGAGGGGTTGTGCAATCCAGCCCCCTCCCCTGACCCTCCCCAAGGGGATTTTCGAGGAGGGCTGTGCTCTGTGCGGGCCTGGCCGGCACCCCTGCCCCCCCCAAGGGGCCGGGCCAAGGTATAAATAGGGGTGGCGGCTGCAGCAGGCAGCAAACCAGCCCGGCTCCAGCATGCTTGCCCTGGAGGCTGCACAGTAAGTGGGGGGAGGAGGACCCCTGCACTTGGGACCCCTGCCCGGCACTGCCTTCCAGGGGGCAAGTGGGTGGGAGGGAGGGGCTGCAACCTGCCTCTTGCCCCTTCTAGATTTGTTTTCCTTTCCCGTCTCCACTTCCTTCCTCCATCCTATCTATCCCTGCCTCTCTGGGACCTCGAAAATCTCCTTGGGACACTTGCTGGTCTCCCCTCCCACCGACAGCCTCTACCGGGGGGTCTCCCCAGGTCTGTCCGGTCCCCAACGGGCCTCACTGCCCGTTGCCGCATCATTTTTGTTCCTGGGACTCTATTCTCTGCCTCTTGCTCCCTCTCTGTCTCTGTCTCTGTGTCTTTGTCTTCTTCTGTCTGTCTTCTCTCCTACTGTCTCACTGTCTGTCCCCCAGCCCCATCTCTCTCTCTCCAGGGCTCATAACCACTTCCTGCATCCATGAATGTTTCTCTCCACACCTTCCTCCCTTCCCACCTCTCATCTCCTTCCCTTCTCTGCCCAGCCGCTCTCCGCTTCTCCTCTGGTCCAAGATGGACCCATTTAACTGACTCGCTGACGGAGGCCCCCTCCCCACCCCCACCTGGGCACTGACACCCACAGAGCCTCTCCAGGGACTTTCTCTCCCTCACTTTCCCTGCCCCCAACCAACCTCTGTCTATGCAAATTCCAGGGGAGGGGGGACATTTGCCTGCCCCCCCACCCCCCACTTCCTGCCCCGCTTGAGTGTGGTGGGGCTGGTCTCACACAAGGACACACAGCAGAAGAGCTGTGGTGGTCACAGCTGCAGCACCCTCCCCCCCACCCCCCATCGGCTCCCAACCACTCGGGAGATTCAGGTGGCTGAAGGCGCCCCTGACATGCCCCTGTGTGTCTCCTCCTCCAGGCACGACGGGCCACACTTCAGCTGTCTGGTGAGTTGGGGCCCTGGGGGCCAGGGAGGGTGGGGGACCCAAGCGGCCCACCTTGACCTCCCTGCCTCAGTTTCCCCTTCCACTCCTTCCTGTCACTCTGTCTTTCTGACTCTCCCTCCATATCTCCACCAGCACCTCCACCTCACCTGGCCCCTCCCTGCCCCATCTGTTCCACGGAAGTTTTCCTGAAGTCTCTTTCCAGCTCTCAGTTTCTTGGGCCACTTCCTGGCGCGAGGACGGATGGGGGGGGCGTCCCACATTCAGCAAACCTATTTACGCCTTCTCTCCTTCTTGGCTTTGCTAAATTGTATTTCCGAAAATGTGTTCTGTAATATTTCCGACACACAGAAGACTATACTCCCCACCCCGTCACCCACAGCCCAGTCCAAAAAGGAAAACCTCACTCATGGGCTTGAAAATAAATGTCATGTCAGGCATTGTTTTTTGTTGCGTTTTAAGTAAGCTCTACCCCCAACACGGGGCTTGAACTCACGACCCTAGAGCAAGTGTCGCATGCTCTAAGGCTCTAGCGACTGAGTCAGCCGGGTGCCCCAGCACTGGCTCTTCTTCCTTGCTGCATAGTACTCTGCTGGAGGACACCCCCCCCACCACACACACACCTGTTCATCCATTCTGTCCGTGGCAGTGGGCTGGTTCTTGCTGGGAGCTATTTGAAAAGCTGCTCTGAATGTTCCTCATCAAGGCTATTTTGTGGACATAACACTGTCAGTCCCCTGGGGGACTACCTAGGCTCAACACTGCTGCTACATTGGGATGGCACGTGTCCAGCTTTGGTCTTCACTGTCATTGCTAAAGCAACATGTGATTCTTGGGAGGGATCAAAGTGATATGGAGGCGGAATAAAAGAAGCATCGAGGCTTTCTTTGCCTCTGTACAAACACTTCCGGCACTGGGACAGGCAAGCCTGGGGGAATTCTTCCACACTTGCCCCAGGTGTTGGGGTTCCTGGGAGCCCACAGTCTTTGGAGGGTGTTGGCTATTGTGTGCCTCTCCGAGACCCTGCGTCTCTGTGTTTCTGTGCGTCTCCGCCTGTATCTTTCGTTCTGTGTGTTGTGTTTGTATCATTCTGGGTGTTTCTGCTGCGCTGCGTCTGTTCCCTCTTCCTGCATCCCTGCGTGTCTCTCTCTGCCCCTGTCTCTGGGGCCTGGTCTCTGTGTCTCTTGTGTGTTTCTTTCTCTTTCTCCCAGCCTCTTCCTTCTTCTCTCCTGTCCCTGTCAGAATCTTCCTGCTGGCCCAGAATGGGGGTTGGGGGCTCCCCAAAGGCTGGGATGACCCCTCTTCTTCCCCACCCCTCGACCCCATCAGTACCCAGATGGCGTCTTCTATGACCTGGACAGCTGCAAGCACCCCAGCTACCCTGACTCAGAGGGGGCTTCTGGTGAGTGGCCCTGCCCTAGCCAACCTCCTGACCTGAACCTTGGGCCCATTTCACAGATGGGGGAGCTGAGTCCCGGGGGAGGATGTCACCTAGTTCGGCAGGATAAGGTTAGCCCCGGGTCTCCAGGCCTCCTCCCCTTCCCTCTCTCACCCAGCCTCTTGCTCATGCAAATTCTGGGGGCTGAGATTTGCATGGCCCACAATGGCTCCTCTGTGCAGGGGGCTTCAAGTGGGAGGGGCTGAGGCCAGACTTGGCTTCTGACTCCACACCCTCCCCCAGACTCCCTGTGGGGCTGGGACCTGAGTCCCGCTGTCCCAGCCGCCTCCTACGAAGCCTTCAACCCAGCTGTGGCCAACTTCAGCCACCCCCAGGGTGTCCAGCTCTGTTATGGACCCTCGACCTACAGCCCCGTGGGGAGCCTCGACCCAGCGGCCCCCAGCCTAGAGGCCCCCGGGCCCAGCTTCCCAGCGTACCCCACAGAGGAATTCACCAGCCAGGTGAGGAGCTGGGACACACTTAGCATCCCCATGATTTGACTGAGGTCCAGGAGGTGCCAGGCGGTGTGTGAAGCCCTCTGACAAACCTCTGAGGTGAAGTCATTACTCGCCCTTATTACTCCATTGCACAAACCAGCCAACAGAGGCACGGACTTTGACCCAGGGGCAGTGCAGAATGCCATTAGCGGTGATGGGCACGCTTCCACGGAGGTGGCCCTGGGCATCCTTGGCCATGCCTTGGAGATCTGAACCGAGGCCAAAGTGCAGGCTGTCAAGAGAGTGGGGGGTGAGGGGCACAGTGGAAACCCAGGAGGAGGAAGGTGAGGGAAGAGAGCAGAGGGAGGGAGGGAAGGGGGAGGTCCCTGGCCTGCAGGTGATCCTGACCTTTTGCAGACCGTGGCCCCCCCGGCGTACGCCCCATACCCCAGCCCTGTACTGTCGGAGGAAGAGGGTCTCCTGCTGGACAGTCCCACCCTGGAGGTTTCAGACAGCGAGTCCGACGAGGCCCTCATGGCTGGCCCCGAGGGGAGGGGATCTGAGGCAGGTATGTAGGAGTAAGTGGGGTTAGGGGGGGCCCCAAACAAAGATGGGGAGGGGGCCGAAGGAATCATGGCTTCCCAAGCACTTACTGCATCCTACGCGCTGAGGGCACTTCCCGGGTCCACCCTTGGCTGCTGTGTGGCCCTGGGCAGATGACTCTAGCTCTCTCTGCCTCAGCTTCCTATCTACAATGGGGATGGCAGTGTTTCTTGCTGGTGGTCGAGAGATTAAGTGGGACAATGCAGGTGACTGAGAGCAGCATTTGGCTCAGTTAAGTCTTCACGCTTATTATCGACACAATAGCAACAGAAATAACCACATCAACACCCGGCTATTCAACCCCTGCTTCTGTGCAGGCGCCTGTATTATGCTCAACTCCTGGGAAGTTAGGATCATTAGCTACTTTCCCTATCTGGGTCTCAGTTTCCTATCTGTAAAATGGGCAGCAGCAGCGGCCCCATTTCCCGGTGTTATAATGATTAAATGAGCTCACAGCACTAAGTGCTTCACAAAGTTTTGTAAAAGTAACACACACACACACACACACACACACACACACACAGACACACACACACAGCTCATTTATAGCTGAGGAGGCTCCAGCTCAGAGAGAGGTTAAGTCACCACCTCAAGGTTACTTCTGGAAAGTGGCAGGAGGCCAAACCTGGGGTTCCTGTACCCAGTGCCCTGCTCTGAACCACCCCCCTCTCTAGCTTTTGGGGAGCCCTTGCTGCTGGTAGGCGCCCACGAGTCAGACCCCCTGGTCTCTTCCAGGATCCCAGTCCCCCAGGGGCTGAGAAACGGCTAGGTGAATTCAAACCTACTCCAGATCGCTTCGCCACTAGTCAGCACCCGGTTTATATAAGTCTTTGAGGGACGCTGTCGGCCCATTTCACAGATTCTCTCATCCATACGCGGGACACATACGTATTCCTATGTGCTGGCCACCAGCAAAGCAGAGGGTAGCCGGATATCTTGAAAGATAAAGCAAGGAGGGGGGGATGGGGGTTCCGGGGTAACAGCTTCAGGGAGGAGAGCAGCTTGCCTGTGGTGGGCGGGGACGCGACACTGGGGACACCTCCCTCGCTCCAATTGTCTTGGCCTGGAGACAGGCTTGCTGGGGCCCTGGGTGGGTGTGGGGGCGGGGCCCAAAGGATCGCTCCCCTAACGCCCCCCGCCCCCCACCCCCGCAGGGGCCCGC